CAGCTCAAAATAGTCATGCAAGTACAGGCTCCTAAGCACAGCCCATGTGTGTCAAGTCTTACTGCCCTCACTGGGACATCAGCTCAGGAACTTGCACATCTAACAGCACTACATGTCATAGACTCCATTCCCCTGAAGCTAAGCAGAGCCAAAGTGCAGCATTGAACTGCTGAGTGCTCAGGTCCAAGATCTTCAGTATGGCCTGACAGCAGCTTTAACCAAGAGCTGCTAGGACCTGTGGGTGTGATTTAGAAAGATGTCCAAGGCCCATAGAGTCTAAAGGCTTCTACCAACTGCAGCACATTTTGTCAGGTCCTACTTCATTCTGCACTAGGATTCCTTCAAAACAGGATAGGGAACCATTAGCAATAGTTCTTCAGTGCAGAAGTCCAAGTTAACACAGCTTCACACTTACAGATTTCCCTGAGCCAGTACATTCAGTAGGGAAAGAAACAGTTCCCACTTACACACATTTTTAAACTTTGGATGACATCCAGCAAGAGAAAGATTTTATTTTCAGCCCCTCACTTTAGGGGAAGCAGTTTGCTAAGAAGTCAAACTGGCCTTGCATTTTTGCAATAAAGAAGGAACTGAGTCGGTTGAGGTGGTTTCCAAGGGTTTTTTGTTTGTTTTGTTGTTGTTTGTTTTGGGTTTATTCGTTTATTTTACGGGGATTGTTTAGTTTCTTTTTAAGATGAGAGCTGGGAAACAGCTATGAACACTGATGACTGTTGAACTGAGAAAGAATGTTTATTACTCGGAAAATCTAAGTAATCTGTAATCACTTCAATAACTAGCTAAAATTCTGGAGAAGTAGTCAACTACATAACAGAACTACCAGCCTTATTTCTAAGGCTCCTAAAGTCATCCTGCAGAAAGAAGAAGATAAGTTGTGACTCCTGCATAGACTCTTCTGTGCTTCATAAAGGGAGAGAAAAGAAAAACATGAGGTAGACATGGATGCAGCAAAATCAGAGAGATGGAGCAGAGTTACCAGTCAATAGCTGCTGGTTGATCACTGCTCACTGAGTCTCAGTACTTACTGCCAGGATGACTCTGTCACGCTCAAGAAGATCAGCCAGCTTGTGCAGGAGTCGTCCTCTGCTTAGGGCATCCATCTGTCTCCAGGGAGCTCCCCTCTGGAATGCTGCCTTTGCTGCTTCTACTGCATTATCCACATCAGGCTAGAGCAGCCACACACACAGGAAAACCTCAGGTTACAAGGAAGGTCCTGGACAATGATACAGCAAACCCTTTGGGCTGCTTCCACCACCTACTGTGGTGGCTAAAACCAAGTTGTCTGACAAAGCCACTTCCATTTTACTCCTGGATTTGGACCCAAGCCTGCAATAAGTTTTGAGTTTGGCCTGGACTGATAAACAACCTTGGGCAGAATACCAATAGGGTCTTTCAAGCGTAATTTTATGCAACTGGTTTGTTTATACAATAATACAGAATCATGTTCCTGCCCTTACAGGATGCAAGTGGCACTGGGGGAAGACAGAGAAACAAGATCCCAATTCTGTTCCCATTAGAGCTTCCCTGAGCATGACAGGCCATTGACCTGCATGAATCATTCTCCTCTGAATAAGTGTGGGAAGGAAAGTCCCCCATGAGAGAGATGATGGTTTTATCCAGGGGAACAATCACAGCTGAGAACCCACCATTCAGTCCCACTGGAACACATGCCAGTAACAGTTAACACACTAAGGAAGCTCCTTTCAATCCTAGATCACACTTCTAGAACATTTCTACCAGACAGGAAGGGTTTTGTTGACAAAGGCTTTTCACCTAAACAGTCTGTTTACCCAAGTTACTACTCAGGTAGGCAGCACATTCCCTCTCTTCCCACACCACTCCCCTCAGAGAAGACTCATGCATTTGCTCTGATCACAGTATGCCCTGGGGACCCCTCCCTTCTTCCCACATACATTGATTAAAAAAGTGAAGCCAAAGGCAACCTCCAGACCCAATAAAGCTAATGGGAACCCTGCCATCAACATCCACGAGGCCAAGACTGTACCCCAAGCATACATAACACATACTTCACCCTGGCTTTGGATGGAATCCAGCTCTACATCAGGTCTGGCATAGCCCAAGGCTCACTTCAGCTGATGGAGAACTTGAACCTCAGCACAATGTGGCTCAAGGCGGTGGGAAAGGAGGGAAGGTTTCAGGCCTTGACCACTCCTCATAGCACTTCACCAGTTGCTCTCATTTATGTCTTATATCAAGTCTTGTCTTGATACATTTACAAGTTAAGCCTCTGCACTGATCCAACAAGGTCTGGCCATTCAGCCCTCAGGGGAAATGTGTGGTGCAAAATTAAGGGAGACATGTTGCCTTCTTACAGCAAAAGTTCATGGAGAAACAGGCAAGTCTTCACCCACTGAAAGAGCACCTTATGCTAAATTCAGCTCCTTTGCTTTACAAGAAGATTATACAACTTTAAAATAGTCTGACCTACACCCCATCCTTTCGGAAAGGTACTGATGGGGAAACCATTGGAGGAAACTTGTGCTGTTGTGGGGGGTTAGATTGGCGGAGGTCAAGTGCAAGTGCTGGTGAGGCAGAGGTAGGGAGCAGCCACCATGGGCAGGCAGGCAGGTCCTGCCTGGGACCCGTCACCCACAGGCAGAATGGACCTTCAGAATGGCTCATGTCAGGTGAGTTGATCTGGATTCAAACTGGCACATCACAAAAGCCAGAAGGCACCATCAGCCACAGCATGTTTGCGTGCTCCCCATCCTGCCTGCTGTAATGAAGACTCAAGCTGAAAGAAGGCAATATTTGATGTGACATAGAAGACAAAGAAACACAAGAAATGTGTCAGGTATAAACGAGTCTTCCCTTAGCAACGATTAATTAACTTCTGTGACCAGGCTGGGAGCATCAATGTGGGTCTGCAGTGGCACAGGCCACAACACAGCAGGCTTTGGTACTGAGAGGCTTTCCTGGCACTCACAGGAACAGGGATGATGATGGGTGTGCAGGCAGAGTACTTGAGTGCATGTCCAGATCTTCCCCATCCACTAAACACAGGAATACCTGAGCCCTGCTTCAGCTCCTCCTAATACTAGTCATCTTCATTCTTGTGCCTTTTCTCAGACATGCTGAGTACACATAGTGGCTTGGAGACTACAGTCACTATTACACAAGCAAAAATGCTTTCCCAAAACATCCTTAGGGGTAGCACCTCCACGTGAGATCTTGTGAGCCTGCACAGCCTCAATAGGCCTGAGAGACCAGTAAAAACAAGGAAATTCTTCAGGAAGGCTGAAATGCCATTCTTAATCCACCTTGTTATGACTAGGCATTAGGGGAGTCTGAATGGCATGTTCATTGCAGGCATGTTGCAATAGGTAGGCACAATACGTGACAAAGACTTGCAACTGTCAAGGTGCCAGGGACACACTGTGGTGCACAAAACCACAAGGAGGTCCATGCATCCTGGTGCTCAGTTCTGATCTATACAGTTTTACAAAGTATTACATAAAAAGCTCCATTAAGAGAATATTAAGATTACAAAGTCAAGCTCTGCAGCATTGGGAAATGCCTGCAAACCTTCATACCCACCCTGGATGTTTGCATTATGATACAACCCCCAGTTACACAACCACATACCATCTTCCCCTGAACAAACTCACACTGTTCTTTGTTCTACGTCCTCCACCTTCCTTCTCTTATCTCAAGCCTTGCTCATCTCTGCTCCATTTCTGTCTTGCCCCTTTTTCCTCTCTCCTGCCTCACCAGCAGGCTGCAGAGCACAGTGGAGACCATCACCCCACTGGCTCTGTGCATAGGGAAAAACACCTGCAAAAAAAGCCTTGCTCTTCTTCAGGCTCAGTGCACAACTCTGCTTAGGCTTGGCAGGTAAGGAGACACACAGGGATGGAATACACCCCGTGGAGATTGTCTTTCTTGACTTCATTTACTACCTTCTTTGGAAAGGCAGGAATATGACACAGTTTCACAATTAGAAGAGTTTCAGAACTTAGTGGCTCCCCTGCAAACAGTCTATACACTGCACTGCTCTAACTTGTGAGCCCAAGTTCAAGGCAGCTACAAAAAGCACCTGAACAGCCTGAAGTGTCCAAGACTGCTATTGAGAGCTTTGCAAGTCTCCTGTAGGGAATAACATTCCTGCAGCCTCTCACCTCAGTCTGCCACTGCAATCTGGGGTGGGCAAGATGACTATGAACTGAACATTCTTAAAACCCTTCAGAGATCAAGATGAGAGTGAACTGCTAAGAAGTTATGACAAATGCTCCACAGCTTTGAGTCTGCTCAACAGTCACAGCTGTGGAACTGCTGTCCACATTTTGTGACAGCCAGCTGAGCTGGGCACTTCTTGATGAAGCACCTTTCCCTCTGCCCTTGATGGATGTGAGCAAGCTGCTAGAAGAAAAAAAAACCAGTCTTCAAGTGTTATCAACAGCACCAGAGAAATGATAATGGTGCAAGTATTTTCTCCTTCACATAGTAACAGCAAGACAGGTAGAAGTCTTGAGGCTGAACTACTCACTGGGAGCAGAAGACTAATGAAGAAAGTTACTATTTCTCCATTATCAACCTGGCAAGCACTTGGACACTGAGCCATTATCTGGGAGGCAAAAAAGCCTCCAAGCATCCAGTGGAAGGTATTGCCATTTTATTTTCAGTGCTTCTTTTTCCATGCAAGACTTCTGCTTATCCCCCAACTATCCTATCAAGGGCAATTCCATCTTAATTTCTGTAACTGAAGAACAAACAACAAAACCTTTGCTCCTAGCCTTCTAAAGCATTGGCCAAGTTTCAGCACCAGACTAAACTGTCATCACTGAGATACAGCCTGCCAAATTCCCACCCCTCAAGTGCAGGCTAAGCAAAACACTGTGCACAGCCAGGGAGGGGCAAGCCTGGCACAGAACAGCTGAGGCCAGAGCCAGTACCAAGAACTGCCACTCCTGTGGTGGTACTGACCACAGCCAAGTGTGGTGGTACAGGGGGACAGGACACTGAAAAGCACCACCAGGCACAGCTCACCATTTTCTGCAGTAACTCCAACAGCCTGGAATTACAGTCCTAGCAGGGAATGTTCAACCAAAGGAAACCTTACGAGACTCAGTTTGATAGAGGACAGTGGGACATGGTCAAGTGTCACCAGTGGCCAAACAGCTGGTTTGGGAGGCTTTTCACCCATGACTCTGCCTTCTGACTAATCCAAATCCAGGTCTAACCCCACTCAGTCCCTTACAAAACCCACTTTTAAAAAAAATAAATGTGTGATGTGAAGGGGTGGAAGAAGAGGCTTTCAGCACCCAAGGTGCAGCTAACTTACATTCCTGCCTGCACTTATTCTATGCCCCAAGGAGCCAGCAGCCTCTGCTGAGCATCCACAGGAAGAGGGCCCCATGGAAAGGCTTACAGTGACTCTCTTGCAAGTTGAAAACTGAAAGTTTTCCTTGAACTCAGGCAGGGGCAAGTCTCAAGGAGGCAAGCTAAAAAACTGGCCTTTTAGTTCTGCATAACAGTTTTCTTTAACCAAGTCATTAAGAAGCAGGCTTGAAATACTCATGTAATGCTCTGTAGCTGCTTGAGGAGACACTTAGCTCAGGGAACAATAACAATGTCATGGTTTCTTCCTAGCAAAATACAGTTGCTCCAGAGTCAGCTTCAAATCCACTGTTTACATGCCACTGCAATTGAACACAGTAGTGTCCTACCCAGTTAGTATAAAGAAATTACACACAATGTTTGGTTCTGCCTCAATCTGCAAGTGCCCCAAGGATGGCAATAGCTCTTGAAGGCTGCTTTAGTGCTCTCCAAAAAAAAGCAGTTACCTTACAAACTATTTTCATGCAGGCTGGAGACTTGTATTGCCAATAAGTTTGCTCTCATCTCCAGAGGGGTCAGTCTCTGTACTCTACACAGTAAAATACCACAAAGCACATTGCCCCTGCTCAGCTAGTATCACTCCTACTAGGAAAGGATCTCCAGGGCAACTACCTGGCTGGAAACCAGGCACTGGGCCTCACAAGTGTTGGCCAAGTTTAGATACCAAGAAAAAGATAACACAGGACAGGAAG